ATATATGTATTCAACTCCCTCCGGCTTGAATTCCGTGACACTGTCAATGTTTCCGTCTTTCATGTCTTTTTTATTCATTTTTATGCTTTCGTTGTCAACAATGTAAATTTTGAGTATCAGGCTAACCCTATGTTGGTTCTAGATTTATTTAGTAAGTCTAATAAATGACCATCATTGTAATTATCGTTGCTAAAAAACGATCTTTTCATTTTTTAGTTTTTTTTTTGGTATTCTAATTGGTTTTTTGATTCATCAATATGAAATTATATTCCACTTAAGGCGTTCAAAAATAGAGTGAAAATTGCTTTTTCTCAACCTTACTATACTTCCCAATAACAATTTTTCTTTGCAGATACTTGTTCTTTATCAATTCTATCTAGGACCACTGAATAAATCGAAAGTCGATCGCCGGCCGATGAGTTTTTTGTTTATTGTTTATTTTCACAACACTCCCTTTTTTAAAATCGTATTGCAGTTAATGCCCACTGTGCTTATACGCATCGTACCAACTTCCTACGATTATGATTCTGGTAGTACTGCACATACAACTCGGATCAATTTCCGTTACTACAACTATTTAATTACCACTACGGCACTAGAAAACACGACAGTTATCCAACAAGCCTAGTGAAATAATAGTGAAATAAGTGAAACTTACACATGTTATAACTGCATTAAATATAAAAAGCTAAAGTGTTACGCATTATCGTTTACGATATCGCGTTCCGAATTCCCTTGCATCCTTTCAATACTGTGACTAATCTTTTACTTTCTATAACTACTATTTCTTTAGTTCTTTAGTCTTTTCCTTGGGCTTTACATATACCATAATAACTGGAAATTGTTCAAGCTATCATTAAATCTACTGATATTACATTGTATGGAGCTGCGTTAGAGATCTGCATCACGTGTTGCTGTTTCTGCTATCCTTCCTTCGTCACTTTCGACTGTAGCCTAAGATGTGCTCGATTCCAATGAATAATTGCGCTGTACTTTTGCCCTTAGAGCTAAAGGCGACTATTGCTAAATATATTCATAACACCCGCTGCTCGTACTTGCCTCGTAATTGCACGCAGATTTGCGTACTAGCGCTTAAGCTAATACGCGCGCCTATTTACGCAATTAAATTACCCATATCTAGAAAACTTTTTTTTAACTCCTTGGATAATTTTCCCAGCGCAGCATTCACAAAAATCTGGTTCAAAAATCCAGTTCTACTTTTAATCTTGGCCGAAGCATACAACCTTTTACTAATTTTCAAGTGGGCACAAAAATGGTGATTAAGCGACTAAATAATGTTACTTCGAAAGTTTTTCTCAAAGATTTCGCAAAGATTATCGTGATACTTACAATAAAAACAAATAAAACTATTTTAAACCGTTCCGTTTTGTGATCGGATTCAATGTTTGCATTTTTTTATACACTTGCCCCAAGCCTTTAAATTTGTGAAGCTTGTGACTGCTTAGGCATAATCCTGTAGAACCTGTTCGAGGCAAGTGATTAAGAATCCGTGTCCGTCTCAGTCAAATTTTGCGTTTTGCGTAGGACGCCAGCGGCGTGCAATTATTTTTTCACAGCAGCATAGTCCTGCTCGTCCGGTTGGAAAGTTGCACTTCCTCGATCTTATATGCTATGTTTTTGTGAATGTACTCTACAACCGTTAGCGTTATTTCGGTCCATTTATATCATAATCGGCTTCTCCACATGAAAGTGGCAACTACTGGTGCTTTTGGCCATATAAATCTCTTAAATATTGCATAGCGTTTAACGTATGTCGACACAGCTGTACTTTTAGTGGCCGTAGTAGCCCTATAGGTTTTGTACGGTCGCTATGTCTATTAAAAATTTTCACATGTAGTTCGTATAGATACTTTTATGAGGAGCTTTCATTGATCTCACTGCTCTTACTTTATTCATACCTATCTGAATGCCGGACAGTAAAGCTATGGTTTCTATATATTTCTGCTCAGTACAGAAAAACCATGTTTTACTTTTGTTGAATACTCAATTCGTTCTTTATACAGTGTTGACATAGTGCGTCTGGATCTGTGGTGAAATATATCGTTTCATACTAGATCAGGGTATCGGTCACCATAATTTCCAACATGCGCAAGCCACTAAGAATGCCCATTTATTTAACTCAGTATACTCCAGATAAAATGTTTAGACCCTGCCTTTTGATTTGCATTCGAATTTTTCTAAGGAACCTCACACGCCTATTAAGTTTTCCTATACATATAAACAAACTATATACAACGTGTGCTCTTCAATAATAGAATACATTTTAATAAATCTAAATTAGTAATAAAGGATAGTAAAATCACGTACGGCACAGATATTCGAGTTATGCATTATTATTGCACGTGAGTATCAAACTACTAAATACGGAATCGCACTTGTACAGTCGTTATTCAGTAATGCTGGCCATACCGTTGCTCCTATCTTTAGGGTTATATCAAACTTATCGTCACATATTTAACTTTTTACCCAGAACATGTGCAACCGAACATGAGTAATAGCCGAGTATTAAAAACTATGTCGGCAGCAACGCCCGGTTGAAATACAGGCCATTCTGGTGTCAGCTAGTATATATTTCATTATACCTGCCAACGAAGCCATAGAAACGACTCACAACCACCTACTGATAAACATGCAATATTGTTACAGTGCGAATTGTTCGACCTAAATATGTTATTTTCGCACTAAACTGGTTTTATCAGGCTTTGAAGCCAGATGCCCCTTCTTTCCTGTTACTCCTTCTTGGTGTTTTCGTTAAGGATTGTTGTTTAAGGATGACGCTTTAAGATTAAGAAATCAAGCGTAGCAGTGGTTCACGGACATACAGGTAAAGGTTATCCGCAGTCTGACCCTTATTTCAGTAATAACTGTGAAGCTCGCGAGGTAATTAAAGGTTTGGTAAACACCGTAGTTATCCCCATATAGAATAAGTGAGACGTGAACACAGCAATGGAACCGCGTGATGTTTATTTCTGACATACCTATGGTATATTGGGCACCATCTAACAAACGCGTGCTATACAATAAAGTAACTGCTGTATCGTTCTGTAAGATTTTGTTTATTTTGAACAGCTGGCAGTAGGGCACCATTATGCCTCGAAGCTCGATGTCAGACAGGATGAGTTAGATACAAATTTTTTTCGAGTCACATAGGTAATGACAGCGAAGTGGACTGTCTTCGTGACCTTCTTGACGCCGGACTAGTCGACCACTCGCCAAAACTTTTTAGCGAACGAAAAGTAACCACTATAGCAAGGATCAATACAATTAATTTTAACCAATTCGAAGAAAAAACGAAAGCTTCTGTTCGCAAGTCCAAAAAATTTGTTTTCTGAATGAAGACGCCTCATCGACCCCTGTTTGCTCGCAATAAAAACTTTATTGAAATAAGGTTTTTTCATGTGAAGTTTGTTACACAGTGTTCGTTAATCATTTTAAACGGACTTAATGTTCTGAATCACTGAGAATTTACACAGAAATACACAGAATGGCTCCTGCGCATAGTGACTGAAGAGGAAAGTAAAGCATGGTAAATAGTACCATCCAATCACGAGCTTTTTGCGGTAGTTCAGGTAAATACCGAAAAGTAAATTCTGCACCAACAGCAACTTAAATACCACGACAAAACGTATTGTACATTAACTTTAGGAGATAGATATGGACTTCTCGCTGTTGGAAACGCGCTTTTTAATATTCAATCTCTTCAGTGGATGGACCTCAACGATAAGATTTCTCAAACAGTCCAGAGTGATTGCACTAACATTCGAATCGGCCATAGATATTAGTTATACTCCAAGTATAACTGTAATATTTAAAAAAAAATATTGTCCTAGTGCACACTGATTGTATGCGATTGCCCGGCTTAAGGCTAAAGGCGGAGGTGTTCGTTCGGTACCAGGGCGCTAGGTTACAAACAGCAGAAGGTTAATCCGAGGAGTAATTCTGCGGATCTGACCAAAGTGCAAGCTTTCAAGGACATCCAGGTTAACTTAATGATTTATGAAACCTTTTTACCAAATATACACGTGTCTCTCCGTTTCTGACTTACCAATTGCCGATTGCAATAAATGACACTGATCTTTGCGATATGGTTCAAATGCTTTAGGAACTCGCAGTGTTAACAACTACTTCGTTGAATTGATTACTTTGTTCAAACTGATCGTCGCTTGTGTTTGATTAATGTACTAAAACCGGCGATGAAGTGTGCTCAGAATGAATCGCAGAGTAGGAGTATAAATTTACTATTTTGAATCCATGTATCAGTCGAAATATATGACAATCAATTAAGGTTTTTACTGAACAAGATTATTAACGGTAAATATAAAAAATTTAAGCAGGTGATCGGTGTGCACAGTAGAACAGTTTTTTTTACCTTTGTGTAAACACATGAAAAATAAAAGAAAAGGAATAGAAGCTATTAAGTGCAATTTATTTTCGATACAATACATTACTGTATAAAAAAAAGATAGCATGAATACCTGACTTTATTAATGCATGTGCTTAACAGCTAATCCAGGACGGATTTTATGCTGCAAACCCAACACAGCTCGTTATAGTATAGTGCGTGCGGGTACAAATAACAAACACATTCTTTTATGCCTTAGGATTCAGCGGTAATCAAACATCGGGCTGCCGGACACGACCAGGACTCTGTCCTGACGGATCTGAATGTGACGGAAACGCAGAATGTTTCATGAGGAGAGGGCACACAAGGTGAGTTTTGTGAGGAACTTGTGCCAATAGGCCAAGCGCTGGGTATTTGCATAAAACCAAGATTTGTTAGTTTCTATCGAAGATATAAACTGACTAACTATTGTACTAGGATAATTGTTGTAAATATATTTCAGGACTCGCATAATTACTTGTAGAGAATTATTTTTAATAATTTAAAAACAAAACCACTTAGCACTTGTATTATGCAAGTTAGCCGGTATACACAGTTAAATGCCTTACCACCGCAAAAGCTGTTCGACAATTCTCTATAATTATTTTTTAACTTATTTTGCCCATTCACATCGGACCTCCATTGAATAAAATATGAAAAATGAAATAAAGTACTTCTCACTACATAATTTGATTGAATCTACAATGCCTACATTTACGGACATTCTAAATACTTTCGAGTTCAGTGCGGCGTAAAATGTTGAGTGATGGCGCTCGATCCTATGCTGTTCAATATAAGCTCACGGCACCTTTTACGATCGCATCTGTGAGGGCTCTATTCCACCAACATACATCTTGTGTTTGAAGCTACATCTTGACCCTAGGACTAAGTACAAGGAAAACTCATACGGAAAAAACTAAAATGTGGTTTTAGCTAGCAATTTCGCTTCTTGCCTCCCATAACACAAGTGGCCATCTACCAACCTGCATTTCCTTTTATTAACAACTGAGAAAACCTTTTTCACCCGCAGGTTATGGAAATATATTGGCGATTTGTTGACGGCACGCGCTGTAAGGAGGACATCTAATACTCCGTCGCTCCTTTGAAAAGAGTCACCTTTGCTTGTGCAAATTGTAGTGGTGTTCTGTAATGCATGTTGCGGAACGGTGCGAAGGCATGTAGAACAACCGAACGCTGCTAAATATCACGTGAAAGTAGTGAAGCTGTCTTTTTGTTAGCGGAATATGATAGGCTCTATTAAACGGTAGTGCACGAAGGGGTTCCGGACTGCTCACGAGGTTCCCGCATCAATTCGCCTGTAGGGTTAGTGCTCCAGTCAATATTGTGTCCATAACCTCTGCAAAAGCTTCTTGGATTTACCACTGCATAATAACTCTAAGTGATCGGAAATCTGGGTTATTCTTGTTAACAAAATTTGTTTGCTGTGTGATTTTTTTTGATATACACGACTATAAACAGCTATATATATATATATATAGCTGCTTGTTTCTTAAAGCCTGGTTTAAAAAAAATTGTTTAATAATATAAAAACCTTAGCCCGGTGCTTCAACTTTGTATAGAAATAATCATATGTAAGTACGGTTATTTCGCTTTAAAATTTGCATCAGCAGGCCGATTTATCACTTTTTATACATGGTGGTATCTAGCATTTATACGTGCTCAAAATGGCAACGAAAGTATCGGTATGATATGAAGTCGAAACACAATGGCTTAAAACTTTCGTACTGGCTCCTTTTTGTTTTCTGATATTTTGAGGCCAGGATCACGGCTGTATTGTATATTAGTAAAAATTTTGTTTAAAACCACAAGAACGTCTGTTCGGTCTAATTGAGATAACAATATTTTTGCATTAGGTGTGAAAGGATGTCAAGAAGCCTAGAATTTCTGCAGAGGCTTTATTTTTGTGGTGGTTTCCTTGAGCCTGGAAATTACTCAAATATGACAAAACGCCAAACAGAAACAAATTTCTTGTTTGAACGGGTTCCGCGCATCCCCTTCTCTAAGTAGGCAACCATTTGTTTGCTAATGGCTTCGGGTAAAGGCGGATTGCCTCGCAGCCGAACTAAAGCCAAAGCTCGTTATCATTTCAAATTTATTTGAAGAGGACAAAGTATCGATCATGTTAATTATCTACTGAGAGTTGTAGTTGACAAAAACCTGCAGTAGCTATCCTTGTTTTACCACGGCGCGTAATTACATCGATTGCGTACAGAACACACACTGCTCTTTAGCCAACTTCGTTAACGGTACTGTTATCATACAAGATCTATCCAAATCGAGTATTAAAGGCCACCTTATCATTGACAACTTTTCGTCTAAAACGACAAAAATCATTTAAAAGCAATTCGAGTTGAATCATTTTTGCTACGCAATACCTTCTAAAATTGTCTGCTAAACGCGACGATTTCTTATAGGAATCGAAAGGTGATTATCGATAACAAGAACACTAGCATGTACTGCGCTTCCTGGATTGAACTGGTCTTGGAGAAGAATAAGTTCTTAATACAAGTTCCGGCAGTTGTTTTCCTGTGGTAACCATTGGTACAATCTGAATTTTTCCTGAGAATTTTAGCCATAGCCTATAATTTTTGGAAGTTCCAGCCTAGGATAATCCTACAAAGAATTTTTGGATCGTTGTTAGTATACGCAAGAGCAGACGTTGTTCGCAACAATGTAAACACTCAAAGGGTCCTCGCTTGCTAGTGTTAGTGATGACTATTGAAAAGAATTCATGAGTTTCGAGGACGAAGTGGATATGTTTAACCTTTTACACTTCACTTGTTCCTACATTTAAACCCGAAATGATTCCTCTAGATGTCGCAAGCACGCTTCATCCTTTTCTCATCGAGGGGAACTTCATACACTTATATAAAAAATTAGTATAGTACGAATCGCGTGTCTGTTATTGTCATACATTGTATTGTTAGTGCCTTAATATGCTGATCCATTGGGAGCAGGTGATCAATAAAGATTTTAATTTACACGCACGTAGAGCATACGGTCAACTAAGACTGGCCAGCTATTTTTCGTTGAGGCTTGGTTACTATTAACTGCCTAATGAAATCTAAAATTTCTCCCAAGCTCTAGCGTGGAAGAATGCGGCATCATTTTGTTATATATTTATATTCTCGTAGCTCAATTCGAGTCACAACGATAATCTCGATCATTTAATCGAGTTGCTCAGTTCGTATCTCGTACTACTGAAGTATTTTGAAGAGTAGTTCAGTTTGACATGTTTTATTTATCAAAATGTTTCTCTTAATAGATGCGTCGATTTCCTCGGTTTCGATAAGACCCTAACTTTTAATAAGTCGACATTACATCCGCTTTCCGCGCCTGAGGTACCATCACTAACTCGGACGTCTGTTCTATTTTCAATTAACTCAAAATTCCAAAAAATCCTGTAACTGTCATAACACAAGTGGCCAGCCATGAATCTGCATCGCCTTCTACTATTATTTGTTAGCAAAACTAACAAATCTAACTCTTTTAGAACTGTGCATACGTCAGCAATATATTTAGAGCTTCCTTAGCTGTGGTAACAAAACAGAACGAAACGTCCGTTTTGTCGCACTAACATAATTATCAGATTTGGGAGAAACACTGTACGCTAGTTAAAAACTAAAGGCTCATACTACACCAGTGAATGCAAATCGGAATGTTGGTTGATTTTATAAAAAAAGTGAGTTGATTAAAAGCAATGCTGAAAACATTTTTGGTAATAGAGGTCTTACACAATAAACGGTAGAATAATAAAATAGAACTATAATATGGTTGAGAAGTTATAATATATATATATATATATATATATATATATATATACGAATAAGATCTGTAGTCTTCAACAGAGGAAAAAAGCAAGTCAGCTTAACGCACTAGTCAAAACAGGGTGGTAAAGGAAAATCACAATAATTACGGCAGAACCTTATAAGAAAAAATGATTTTTGTACCAAACGTTTGACTAAATCTGCTAAATAGTTGCTGATATAACTGTCTAATTGTGATGATGTTTTTCTTAGATTCCAGTGTCGCTGTAAAATCGGCTTTGCTGGCGACGGTAGGCTGTGTGCGCCAGATACTGATATCGATGGGTGGCCAGACTATGCTTTACCATGCTTCGACAAAAGGTATGTCAAAGTTGCGGCAAGCACGCAAGTCGGATACATTAAGTACCGATTTGCATTTAATATTTGTTCTTACCTAAGTAGTTGTATATATATATATAAACCCTACGCAGTTGACTAGATGTCATTACTCACAAAATACAGAACGATCATGGCAGACGCTTTCTGATCCCGTCATATATATCATTAACATGATACTGAAGCTAAAAAGCCGCAGAATACACCGAAATTTAGTCAATACTGTTATTAGTGTGCATTTTATAGTGTGTGTGAGATTTTTCGATTAAGTATTTTATTTGATGTGCTTCTGTAGTTGTATTTTGTTTTTTACTGTAACATACCGTGCTTGCGAAGAGGAAAAGTTACGTGCGACTTTTATTATCACCGTTCTATATGAACTAACGCTTAGATCACTTTATGTATTCACTTTATTGTACGCTCTACTTCGAATGAAATGTTTGGGAACAATATTAAAGCAGATTCATCAGAGCTTTGAATTCGCAACTGAACAAGTGTATTCCCTACGTCAATCGCAACAGTATTACCTTGACCTAAGTTACAACTGAACATGTTGTAATGATACTTCCAAAACTGCACAGTTGAGCCGAGGTTTGGAGATACTTCATGCTAGTTACCTGGAGTACGTCAACTCCACGTTAAGACTCTTCGGCTCCTTCTGAAATACCACATTTATCAGATTCATACAAATAAAGCTTTTGGAATTCATCCTAAATGCAAATGCGTGCAGCATATATACAAACTTTTAACTTACATTAAGTCAAAAGTTTAAAGCAGGTTCACTTATACTAAATTTTCTGAAGCATTCATATGACTGGCCAATCGTGTCGGATGGGTCAGAAATTTTGCAGGTTAGTTTAGCCTGAACAAATCTGTATGCGCAGGTATATCCGAACGAAAAGCACTAAATTAGTAGACAGACTGCGCAAAGCCGTACGCAATGGAACAGTCTAAGCAATGACCAAGAGATCATGGTGTTCCTTGCTCATACGTCGAAGAATTCAATACTAACCTCGAGGGCAAATCGAACTAAATATTTTCAAAATATTTTATGGTATGCCATATAATCAATGTTTCACAACGAATAGGTGAAATATTTCGCATTCTCACGAACGAATAATTCCTGGTAAATATAATATCAAGTAAACAGTCCGTTCAATGGGTGAAACAATAGTTGGATTACTAGAAGAGTATCAGGACCAATAAAGCTTTCCTTATTTGCTGCCAAAAACGAAAAATGATTCATAAGACGCATTTAACTATGCATTAATGAGTAGAAGCTGTTGTCCTTTATTAACCTGATAGTGTTTACCCAAAACTCAAAAGGCTTCAAACGATAGGCCTTTGGGCTAAAGAATCTTGGTTTTCTCAAGAAAACTGAGCGAAGCATTTCAGGAACGGCTATACTAAAGGGGATCACGATTAATTAAGGCCGCAAGGCATCAGCTTTCGTGAATCAAATTTTTAGTGCTAGGAATACCGTTCTCAAAACTTGCAACACGCGACTAAGCGATCCGAGAGGAGTTTGAGTAGAGAAAGAACACTGAACTATAGACCGAATCTCATTGCCATTGGAATTAAAACTACTTCATAAAAACAGGTCTCGAGAAATTAGGCCAAGACACACCATTCAAATAGAAGATATTCGTAAGGCTAGGACACACACAAAAACGTTTTTGATCTTGCTTTTTGCTAGTGCCGTTGATCAAGGTACTAATGTAATAAGAAACATGGATTCTACGATCGCTCACACTGCTGCGAGTCACGCAATCGGTGCTATCGCTGTTTTTCTAATCATTATTGGACGACGACTCTTTTCTATGGAAAACAGCTTCGTAATTGTTGAGGGTGAGAGAATCAACATAACTGTAAAATGTCAGTCATTTTACAGTATTTGTCATTATTGACTTACCTGGCAATATAGGTTGCAAAATTTGCTCAGATCACCGTCAAAGAGATCTATACTCTTAGAAGCATCTAGTTTGAAGCGGAAAGTTAACAACAAGCAGTCTTCATGCTTAGAGCCCGCCGGTGGACTCGTATCTTAAGTTTAAAAGTGGAACACGTTTCATTAAGTTAGGAAATTTATTCTAAAATACGACAGACAGACGGGCCTTCCATCCTAAGTACTTTGAAAATGCAAAATAAAAAAACAAGAAGCCTAATTCTTCAAGGAATGTATCAGAATATTGTACACTTGCCTTTTACTTAAAGTAACCCACGTGTTGCTTAATTGAGCTGAAAGTCCTCCAAGATAATTTCCACGAAATCCTGTGCTTAAGCAATACTATTTCTATGAAGCTGTCTTCCTACTGTATGTTGGCTTTGCGAAAACCAAGTCGAATTTGCAACAACGGAATTTGTTTAATGGCTCTCTGTACTGTGGAAGAATTGGGAAGAGCATCCTAGGTAAATCAAAACAAAAGGAAATTCGAATGAAGGGAGTGATTCAATGTCGTGAAACGACAGAGACTGCACTTACGAATTTCAAAAATCTTTGTTGGGAATCCAGCATCGTATTTTGGATACCAAATGCTCATAAAACGGAACATGAATTTCGTGCTAAAGAATTTCACACTGATAAATCGACGATGACAGTTTATAATATCTTCATGAACACAGTACCTAAATAAAGGAAAAACAACCGATTTTGTGTTTGTTAAGTTTCAAAAGTAGTGGTCGACTCCAGGCCGAGAAATTAATACTCGGCCTTCACATCCAAACATAGCCGCCGAATGGATCTGTTGGCTAAAGATTATGTACTTTAAATCGTAGTATACCTAAGTAGACAAAGGATGCAGGAAACGTAAATTCTCGGGTCTTGAAAAACATCTTTGAGACGTGAGCAGTGTAAATGGTTGTGTAAAATGTACTAACAGAATAACTATCGCATAGTCCTATGATTGCATCCTGTATTAAATTTTATGTGTTACGGTTTGATGTACGACACCTAAAAACACCATAAGCCGCGCCTGTTAATTTTGTAAAAGTAAATATTCTAGATGTAAATCCCGTAAAACGTTATTAGATTTAGATCTATGTTATTTTGAAAAATACTATTTAAAAAAGGACTTCTTAAAAGTACTCCAAATGCCATTCTGCGCAATCCAGGTTAACAAGGTACGAATGAACTTCCTAACTTCATTTACAGAGTTCATTTACAGAGAAAAACCGTAGCTGCAGCCGTATGCTTGTTGCTAATAAACAATTTAATCGTTTATTATTCGGTGACGGCGGCAGATCCTACTCTCATAAAAACGGGGGGAGAAAAGGAATCTTGGAGGGCGGACAAGTCAGAACATATTGAGACGGCCCAGTAATTCCCTAACCAGACTCATGTTGAATTGTTTATGATGGGGAACCAAATTAGAAACGCGAGAAACATTAGCTACATTGCCGAGAAAGACAGGTCGGCTGACAATAAAGTCGTTAATATAGGCAGGCCACAAAGACCCTACGTATCAGGCAAGGGTCGCTCAGGTTCGCGAATGGAAGCAGACCTTAACGTAGCCGCTAGAACTGGTATCGATGATTCGGCTCCGATAGATTAGTGTTGACGCGAAGAGACTTGACAGGTGGGAGGCTAAAGAAATGCCGTGAAGGTACTCCGTAGAACGGGATATCTTACAACAAAGGTTAACTAGACTTAGAGGACTCTTACATACGTAGGGCCGTACGTAGTTTCACTTCATAGAAGATGCTTAAGACAGCCAAGACGTCGTATGCTCCCGAAGGGCGCGGGGCGAATTAGTTAATAGTGGTGGAACGGCGCATGGCCACGAAAGACTCATCAGAAGATATGTGAAACGAACAACCGAGGGATTTTCGGAAATTGAAGCTAAAAGGGTATGTATATTGCTAGTATATATAAGGACGTATTTTGAAAGTGAAAAAAATATATATGGTGATCGACTTAGGCATCCATCAAAATGTGGTAATACTTGATGTTTCATACGCAGTTCTCACTAGCCTCGATCTCAAAATATTTCGTTAAATCCGTCTGTATATAATGCAAAATCGAAAATCTCTCCAGGCCTATTATCGAAATGGTTTCACCATACCTTCTTCAGAACTCAACGATAGCGGCCGCGATGGCGTGGGCTGTTTTGTCGCGTCAGCGCTAATACCTGTCGAGACAACATCAGGGCTAGACGGATTGGGCGACTTTGCAGCGCTTAGCAAAGTAGTCGGAGTTGTAGACGAAGCAGGAAGCACTTCAGTTGCTATTTCACGAGCTGGGGATACGGGGGATGCGGGAGTCCATTCACTTTTTGCTTCACGGGTTGTTGAAGCCTCCGGATTATTCCGGCGGGTTGTCTTGCGGCCTGCGGTAGTTGCTGTACGCCGGGCTGTTGAAACATTGGTTGATATTCGGCGAGCTGTTGTACGCCGGGCAGTGGTTGTGCCCGCAGGCCCCGCTGATGGTTTAGGCGTCGATGAGGGAGATGTCTGAGCACTTACAGACGGACTTGGCTTGGGACTTGCCGCAGGAGTTGGCGTCGGTGTTGATTCGGGGGTTGACTGAGGCGTCGGCCCTGGGCTCGGCCACGGTGTTGGAGTAGGCGTTGGATTGTGTGTTGGCGGATGGGTTGCTGGAGGGGTTGTGGAACTAGACCCCTTCGATGAAGAAGAGGACGGTGATGCGGTGGTTGGCATCGGCCGTCGTCTCCATTTTTGAAAAAAAAACACAAATATAGGGTACTTAGCTGTAATATTGTTGCGGTTTTTCCCATTTTCACGAGCAGCCTGTTGCTTGGAGAAGGTTTATAAACGATTTACAAGCGCGTTTCTTGCTTAACAAGTGTGTTGCAAGTCTTGTACATGGAGTTTGAGTTAATTACGATGATTTCTGCTTTTTATAAAATCGTTTAATTAGAAACTGGTAAGAACGTAGGATAAAGAATAAAACCGAGTTCAGAAGAGTAACAAGAGACCACTGAAAAAAAACTCCATGTAATTATAGATTACAAAACTTATGTTATCAG